GGTTGTCATCCTCATCCTTCTCCATAGGATGGTCCTCTGACAGTGCATCCACCTGCACTAGGGGAGAAGGTAAGGGAGAGTTGCCCACAATTGCATCCCGAACAAGTGAGAACTATTGAGAGATAAGCCAGAATAACTCCGGAAAATCCCTCGTTAGACACAAAGGAACTGGAGGAAAATGCCCCTTTAAATGGTAAAAAAAAAAAAAAAAAAAAGTAGGGGAGAGATTCAGAACTGATCGGATTCTTAGGGAAGCCATTGTAGGGTGAACAACGTAGGGGTCCTCCCTACCAAACAAGGGTATTTTGGAGCCCACCGCTTCGTCCTTCCTCCCACCCGTGTTCAGACATTTCCTTGCTGAGGGAATTAGGCCTCACCCTCTTCCAGGCATTGCAGTCAGTCACCTGAGAGGAATGTTTTGGCACAGCCAAAAAATATTAGGAGGCTATCAATCCCTCCAAAAAACTGTTACTACAATTCTGCTGGAAATAGCTTGGATCAGGGGAACCAATGTGCATGGGCCCTGTGCTGCCTTGGGAGAGGACTGTTCCAGGAGATAATACTCAACAAGTGAAACAGGTGCTATGATATCCAAGCTACGGTCCGTACCTACTTGTGCCATTGGGAGCACATGCCAGGTGGCTGACCTTGCTCTCCTCCAATGCCACAATAATGGGGGAAATGAGAATATACAGTAGTTCAGCAGAGCAGAACAGTACAAAAACCACAGCAGCACAAGACCCACAGTAAAAGGACTCAGGCAGGGGGTATGGCCCCAGTAGGAATTTCCCTAAAAGGGCACTCACCAGTCCAGGCTGCAAGGCTCCAGAGAGCTCAATCTTTGCCACCGTTTGTGGCATTCCCACCATGATGGGTAATCAGGTACACGACTTCCCATCAGGGGAGCACAATTTTGCACCTGTATAGCAGCAAGCGTCAATAACAGATACCCTTGACTAGTGGTGCCCACAGAACCCAGAGCCAACAGTCAAGCTTATAAGGCACTCCCACTAATTTCAGGAGCAGGGTCCATACTAGTACCATACTGGAAAAGCTCATCTGTAAAAGCTTTTCCCTATTCCACAGCAGGGAGTATGAAACAGGTAAATGTCCATAGGAGAGGAAATCTTCAGAGACTTCACAGGTATATTCATCACCTAAGAACACTAGCTAAAAACTGAGGCTGTGCAGGGTTATATCGGAGTGGCAAAACCTGACTTTTTTGGCCAGGGTCCATTCACTTGTACAGTTGGTGGCAGTAAAATCCAAGTAGTCATGTGTCAAAGGCTAGCACAATACCTCACACCACTAGCACATTCTTATATGTCCATTACTATATTTAGCTTCCTTACAGGCCATAGGGAGGGTGCAGGAGACTGCAGAAAGTCCTAAAGTTTGCAAAAAAGAGCACTCTTGTATCTGGGCTGTCAGAAAAAACCTTATCTTGACTTTTAATGACATTTTTGAACATATTTAAATTAGTTATGTTTTGTTTTCTTTAAAGTGTTTGTAAAGTTACATGTTTTTCTTTTAAAATAAACATGTTATACTTGCCTGCTCTGTGCAATGGAATTGCACAGAGCAGTACTGATGCTCCTCTTCTCAGGTCCTCCATCAGCGCTCCCAGACAGCGAGGCTCAATCTTGCCCCACACTCCATCACAGGATTTGACTGGCATCAGCAGGAGCCAATGGCTGCTCTCGAGCAAAGTTTAGTATAAAAGGGGGGGAGCAAAACACATACTGAAACATTTTTTTTTTACCTCAATGCAGGGAATGCATTAAGGTAACAAGTGTTTATGCTTAAAACCACTTTATTAAATGGAAGCACCTAGAAGTAATTAGGAAGCAACACAGAGCCACAACTATGGGAGGACATTTCTTATCGCCCAAAGCATCTAAAAAATAAATAAATAAATAAATAAAAGCCCTCACTATTCTAATTTCTAGTGCAGTATGTGAAAATAGAATTTGTTTGCTAGGGGCTACAAGGAACATTCTTCCTATAGGCAACTTTATACATGAGATGTGCAGAGAGAGTTCTTAAATCTGAAACTGATTTAAGTGTACACTACTTTCTATTATGGCTCTAAGATATTTACACATTAAAATGAAGAAATAAAAATGGATTAGTAGTGTACACTGTAGATTAGATGATGGCATTATGTAGCCAATGGACAAAAGTTGTGTGAATCTTAAATTGTGTACTACATAACAAATCTGTAGATACATGTGAATTGTGTGCTACAAAACAACAATAGTTAATTAACACAATAGCACAGTAGCTGGCAAAAGCACAATGGATAAAATGGCATCAAAACAGCATATATTTTAATCCAGTTTTTTGTCCAACACAAAACAACTTGTGAATTCTGAGGGAAACCAAAAAACATGACATGGAAAGTAATACATATAAAAATGCCCAACAGTTCGTTCAAAAAAGTTCGTGCAGCATTTCATTTTCATATGTTAACAACCAGATGCAAACACAGCTGTAGATAATCCAGCAGAGCTCGAACAGGAATGACAGAAAATGCGCACTCACCGACCGCGCATAGGAAATGCGCATGAATATATCAAGATCAGCAGGTGTCGTTTCCCTCAAGGAGAGATGTCATCAAGCGGTGGTCTGCTGGGCTCAGAGGTCCTCCTCAAGATCACGGTGAACAATCTGGGTAAAGGCTCCCTCCTCTGGATACTGTATGCAGTGAAGGCTGTGTGTGCTGGTCTAGTAACCCCTCAAATTGGGGCAAAAAATGGGAAAATTCCCATAGTGTAGTATTTCCAAACTTTATTGAAATGTAAATAAAGATAGGCAGGTCAGTAAAACACTGGCAAGAGCCAGAGAGTGAAAGGTAAAAAATGGTATTACAGACCCTCAAGTAAAATGGCCGCCAGACCTCCTCGTGTACCCGGCGGCAGTAGGCGTCACAAGCTGTCAGCTCCTCCTAAGGCCTTTCGTGCTAAGGCACATCTTCAGAGGGGAGGCTAACAGCTGTGTGACGAACACCTAGTGTTTAAATAGTGAAGACCGGGAGTCGCGCATGCGCACTAACTCGCCGCCATTTTTGTAAAGACCGGGCAACTGTGCATGCGCGCTCGTCGAGACGCCATTTTGCCGTGGATCTAGATACTGACAGCTAAGGTAATTCTACACAACGCTGTCAGGGCGCACAGAGGAACGCATATGAGCCAAAAATAATGGCTCTAAGTCCCATGGGGATAACTAAAGTTTCATGCATGATCCAGTGTGGAAAATTATATATAACAACATGCCCCCTACTAAATAGTGTATCACCAAGAATAGTGATTGTTAAGGGTAATAACACTACCTGTCCACAGCATATAAAGGTGCTCTTAGTGCAAGGTCAACAATACAGATATTATAAAGCCAAATTATTGGGTTAAAAATAGAACTCATTAAATTTACAGATAAAATTAATGATAATAGGATAAATATCAATAATAGGTAAAGGTTATGAATACACAATGTATATTAATAAGATCCATAACTCACATAAAATGAAATTAAAATCGTAAACGACCAGTTAGCGGAAAACCTCAATATAAATAGTAAATAGTAGTATACTATCTATTAATAGGATATAATTAGAAACATAATACCAGATCAAAGGTAAAATTACCTAAAAAAATCCCTTTATATGCTGTGGACAGGTAGTGTTATTACCCTTAACAATCACTATTCTTGGTGATACACTATTTAGTAGGGGGCATGTTGTTATATATAATTTTCCACACTGGATCATGCATGAAACTTTAGTTATCCCCATGGGACTTAGAGCCATTATTTTTGGCTCATATGCGTTCCTCTGTGCGCCCTGACAGCGTTGTGTAGAATTACCTTAGCTGTCAGTATCTAGATCCACGGCAAAATGGCGTCTCGACGAGCGCGCATGCACAGTTGCCCGGTCTTTACGAAAATGGCGGCGAGTTAGTGCGCATGCGCGACTCCCGGTCTTCACTATTTAAACACTAGGTGTTCGTCACACAGCTGTTAGCCTCCCCTCTGAAGATGTGCCTTAGCACGAAAGGCCTTCGGAGGAGCTGACAGCTTGTGACGCCTACTGCCGCCGGGTACACGAGGAGGTCCGGCGGCCATTTTACTTGAGGGTCTGTAATACCATTTTCTACCTTTGACTCTCTGGCTCTTGCCAGTGTTTTACTGACCTGCCTATCTTTATTTACATTTCAATAAAGTTTGGAAATACTACACTATGGGTATTTTCCCATTTTTTGCCCCAATTTGAGGGGTTACTAGAGCAGCACACACAGCCTTCACTGCATACAGTATCCAGAGGAGGGAGCCTTTACCCAGATTGTTCACCGTGATCTTGAGGAGGACCTCTGAGCCCAGCAGACCACCACTTGATGACATCTCTCCTTGAGGGAAGCGACACCTGCTGATCTTGATATATTCATGCGCATTTCCTATGCGAGGTCGGTGAGTGCGCATTTCTGTCATTCCTGTTCACAAGCTCTGCTGGATTATCTACAGCTGTGTTTGCATCTGGTTGTTAACATATGAAATTGAAATACTGCACAAACTTTTTTGAACAAACTGTTGGTTTGATTTTAGCGCTGCACTTTATATTTATTATTTGATGGACGTGAGATGGTTGTGATCTCCTCTAGTGCTTCAGCTGCTTATCCTATTTTTATTCTTAACATTTAAGGAGCGCTCGCTTTACTATATATTTTATATAAAAATGCCCATTTTGGGCTTGCTCCACTGTGACCTTCGCAACAATATGCGAGCAAAAAACTTTCTGAAATAACAGGTGTAAAGACATATCCAAAAAAAACAGACCAATATAGCTGCCTCCACTGTCTTACCTGCCTCAATATGAGGAAGCCTACAGTCTGTGCTATTAAAACATAAAAAGGAAAGTCAAAGTGTAACTAGAAAAACAAAAATAAACTGTAAAACAAAGTATATCTCTTCACATTTTCCCATGAGAGTTCTGGTCTCCTGTTTCTTGGTTACTTTTGAAGCAACAATCGGGCAAAGTCTGCATTTGACATTTTCTTGGACTCCCCTTCACCTCCAGGCAAAGACCCCGACTGTGCTTGAGGGGTACCATTTTCTGTTTTTGTGGCAGCTGGAGCATTCTGACGGTGCAGGGAACGGGGCAAAAGGGCCACTTGGGTTCTTCCTCTTCCTCTTCTATGAACAAAAAAAACCCCAAAATATTTACACATAATTATGGGCAGATGTGTTTTTTCTATCCTGTTTTAATATTAAACTTGTGAGTAAAATACCATATTTTCCGCTTAATAAGACGCACCTGACTATAAGAAGCGCCTAGGTTTTAGAGGAGAAAAACAAGAAAAAAAATATTCTGAACCAATGGACTGCAGACACAGTACAGGAGATGACCAGAGACTGCAGACACGGTACAGGAGATGACCAGAGACTGCAGACACGGTACAGGGGATGACCAGAGACTGCCGACACGGTACAGGGGATGACCAGAGACTGCCGACACGGTACAGGGGATGACCAGAGACTGCCGACACGGTACAGGGGATGACCAGAGACTGCCGACACGGTACAGGGGATGACCAGAGACTGCCGACACGGTACAGGGGATGACCAGAGACTGCCGACACGGTACAGGGGATGACCAGAGACTGCCGACACGGTACAGGGGATGACCAGAGACTGCCGACACGGTACAGGGGATGACCAGAGACTGCCGACACGGTACAGGGGATGACCAGAGACTGCCGACACGGTACAGGGGATGACCAGAGACTGCCGACACGGTACAGGGGATGACCAGAGACTGCCGACACGGTACAGGGGATGACCAGAGACTGCCGACACGGTACAGGGGATGACCAGAGACTGCCGACACGGTACAGGGGATGACCAGAGACTGCCGACACGGTACAGGGGATGACCAGAGACTGCCGTGACGGTACAGGGGATGACCAGAGACTGCCGACACGGTACAGGGGATGACCAGAGACTGCCGACACGGTACAGGGGATGGACCAGAGACTGCCGACACGGTACAGGGGATGGCCAGAGACTGCCGACACGGTACAGGGGATGGCCAGAGACTGCCGACACGGTACAGGGGATGACCAGAGACTGCCGACACGGTACAGGGGATGACCAGAGACTGCCGACACGGTACAGGGGATGACCAGAGACTGCCGACACGGTACAGGGGATGACCAGAGACTGCCGACACGGTACAGGGGATGACCAGAGACTGCCGACACGGTACAGGGGATGACCAGAGACTGCCGACACGGTACAGGGGATGACCAGAGACTGCCGACACGGTACAGGGGATGACCAGAGACTGCCGACACGGTACAGGGGATGACCAGAGACTGCCGACACGGTACAGGGGATGACCAGAGACTGCCGACACGGTACAGGGGATGACCAGAGACTGCCGACACGGTACAGGGGATGACCAGAGACTGCCGACACGGTACAGGGGATGACCAGAGACTGCCGACACGGTACAGGGGATGACCAGAGACTGCCGACACGGTACAGGGGATGACCAGAGACTGCCGACACGGTACAGGGGATGACCAGAGACTGCCGACACGGTACAGGGGATGACCAGAGACTGCCGACACGGTACAGGGGATGACCAGAGACTGCCGACACGGTACAGGGGATGACCAGAGACTGCCGACACGGTACAGGGGATGACCAGAGACTGCCGACACGGTACAGGGGATGACCAGAGACTGCCGACACGGTACAGGGGATGACCAGAGACTGCCGACACGGTACAGGGGATGACCAGAGACTGCCGACACGGTACAGGGGATGACCAGAGACTGCCGACACGGTACAGGAGATGACCACAGACTGCCGACACAGTACAGGAGATGACCATAGACTACCGACACAGTACAGGAGATGACCACAGACTGCCGACACAGTACAGGGAATGACCAGAGACTGCAGACCTTTGGGGAGGGAGGGGGAACGGGTACCTGAATTTGACAGGTACCCGCTCCCACTTCCGCGGAGTTGTCCTTCCTTCTTCCCGCGCCGGCTTCTGTGACAGCCAGGTGCCCACTGCGCATGCGCGAGAAGCGCTGCGCTTTTTGAATGGCCCGGAACCTTCTGGGACCTGTCATGTGTCACTGAAGACGCTGGACCATTCACAAAGCGCAGCGCTTTTCGCGCATGCGCAGTGGGCACCCGGCTGTCACAGAAGCCAGCGCGGGGGCGAGGAACAGGTAAGGTCCTACAGGAGAGAAGAGCTGAGTGGCCGGCCCGATATTCTGACATGGTGGCGGCAGAAATACCGGACCGGCCGCTTTATATTCACTCCATAAGACGCACTGATATTTTCCTCCCTTTTTTGGGGGGAAAAAAGTGCATCTTATGGAGCGAAAAATACGGTATGTGGGCTGCAATTGACTACTTTCTGAAAATGCTAGTTGCCTGCCTGTTATGCTGACCCTCTGACTTCAGCATCTTTCAAAAATACTGATTAGGAAAGTCCAGGAGAGGCCCTACCATGCATCTACCAGCCCTTAAATCCATCAGCATGATAACCATCTTACCTGGAAATACCTTCCAAAAGTTTGCTTTAGACTAGGGGTCCTCAAACTTTTTAAACAGGGGGCCAGTTCACTGTCCCTCAGACCGTTGGAGGGCCGGACTATAGTTTTTTTAAAAAAAAAAAAACCTATTGTCATCTCCTGTACTGTGTCCGCATTTGTTCAGAGACTGCGGACATACAATGGCGGCGGGAATACTGGGCCGGCCGCTCTATAAGACGCACAGATATGTCCCCCCAAGTGTGTCTTATGGAGCTAAATAGTGTCCCATCATTGGTGTCTGTGGGAGGCATAGTGTCCCATCATTGGTGTCAGTGGGAGGAATAGTGCCCCACCATTGGTGTCAGTGGGAAGAATAGTACCACATCATTGGTGTCAATGGGAGGAATAGTGCCCTATCATTGGTGTCAGTGGGAGGAATAGTGCCCCATCACTGGTGTCAGTGGGAGGAATAGTGCCCCATCATTGGTGTAAGTGGGAGAAATAGTGCCCCATCATTGGTGTCAGTGGGAGGAATAGTGCCCCATCATTGGTGTCAGTGGGAGGAATAGTGCCCCATCATTGGTGTCAGTGGGAGGAATAGTGCCCCATCATTGGTGTCAGTGGGAGGAATACTGCCCCATCATTGGTGTCAGTGGGAGGAATACTGCCCCATCATTGGTGTCAGTGGGAGGAATAGTGCCCCATCATTGGTGTCAGTGGGAGGAATAGTGCCCCATCATTGGTGTCAGTGGGAGGAATAGTGCCCCATCATTGGTGTCAGTGGGAGGAATAGTGCCCCATCATTGGTGTCAGTGGGAGGAATAGTGCCCCATCATTGGTGTCAGTGGGAGGAATAGTGCCCCATCATTGGTGTCAGTGGGAGGAATAGTGCCCCATCATTGGTGTCAGTGGGAGGAATAGTGCCCCATCATTGGTGTCAGTGGGAGGAATAGTGCCCCATCATTGGTGTCAGTGGGAGGAATAGTGCCCCATCATTGGTGTCAGTGGGAAGAATCGTGTCCCATCATTGGTGTCAGTGGGAGGAATAATGCCCCATCATTATTATCAGTGACACCAATGATGGGACACTATTCCTCCCACTGACAGCAATGACACTTAGCTAGCCGACCCCTGTTCCAGCATGGTGCTGCTGCAGCCAGCATACCTGGTTGCAGCAGCACCATCTGCACGGCACACTTACCGGGCGGTCAGCTGTCCTCCTTCCTTCACTTCCCTCTCCCTCCCTTGATTTTCGCGGGGCCGCTCGGCTCCGCCTCCTGGCTGGTGATTGGCTGCCTGTGTGCCTTTCCTGAGCTACAGTACTGACGCCCAATCACCAGTGAGGAGGCGGAGCCGAGCGGCAGCTCGGACATCAAGCGAGGCAGCAGCCAGAGTGAAGGAGCTGCGCATCCTGGACTGGATCGTCGTGGGACTGGAGCCAGGTAAGAGACAGCAGCCCCCTGCTCGCCCCTGTACTTAGTGTCCCCTGCCGGCGGGCCAGATGAATGTGCTCGGTGGGCCGCATGTGGCCCGCGGGCCGTAGTTTGAGGACCCCTGCTTTAGAGGAATCTCTTATGGGAGGGGGCATGCTCTATTATTTGCAAAAAGAAAGAAATATGGGGGATCCAGCTAAATTGCCATTAATGTGTAAAGACAGCTACAAAATGAGCAAAAAAATGAGCAGTATCTGTTAGTGTTTTCCTGCCTATGCTGAACATTTTGATAACGGCATACACCAATCTAGACAACAGGGCTTTGTTGATCTTTGGGGTGCCGCCTCACACACATCTTGGCTGCAAACTCCATGAATTTAAAGGACCTAGCAAGGCCCATTAGAAAGAATTTCTACTAAATGAGTGAAGTGCTCCAGATGTATGCATGGGAGGCACACTGCTTGTCGGAGAAGATTCTGATGAGGAGGGTCTGTGGCTCCAGAAAGGGCTTAGAGTATGGATTACAGAAGTGATCAGCATGGGGAGAGGTTACTAATTATTACTTACTACTTATTATACTTACGCTCCATACATTTGTCGTGGCATCATAGGCCTATTAGACTGTGCAGTTTCTAGCTGTTTTCTCAAAGGAGGATTGCTAATTGCCACTTTAATTGTGTGTTCTTTAATCTTGGTACCATCCAATTTAATCACAGCTTGTGAGGCCTGTGCCTCATTTTCGAATTCAACATATGCAAGTCCCTTTAAATAAAAATGAAAAATTCAGCATTAAAAGCTTTGAAAAACTGACAAACTTGCTCTACACTCAAAAGTCAAAGTTAGAAGGCTCATTTTAGACAAACATTGCATTTTAGTAATAGTTTATCAATCTCAGCTTTCATATAAAAGTACACCTGGCTGCCAAAATAAAATGTATTTGCAATCTACAGTAAATTTCTTTGTTAAGTTTACTATATACAGTACACATAGAAATTCAGTATTATAGCCAGCTTAACTGCTTGCCTCCTGCCCACAGTACATTTAATGCATGTGAGCGGCAGCTACAAGCTAGGCAATATCCTTGTACATTACTGTCTATTTCCGGGTTTTTGAGCGCTGACCCCCTGCTGACCTGTGCTGTGGTTGGACACAGCATGGGTTTGTCAGCAAGTTTCAGCCAATAATTTTGGCTCTATACCTGCTGATTGGCTGTGGCCACTCACAGCACAGAGTTATGTGTTTACAACACACACAGAACTCTGCACACAGACAGCAGATCTGGCCGTTTCTTCTCCTTGAATTCAACTCTGAGTTCAGGGAGAAAAAAACTGTCAGATCTGTGAGTAAAAGCAGCACACATACAATTGTTAGGCACACAAATAACCCCTTCATTGCCTCTTGATGTTAACATCTTCCCAGCCAGTGTCATTAGTACAGTATTATCACTGGCCACTGTATTAATGTCACTAGTGATGTCAGTTAGCAGTTAGTGTCCCTCCCAGACAGATTGCCACCACACTATTATGGTGCCACTAGAAGTTGCTGATCAACGCCATTACTAGTATAATGTCTTTAGCTGCATAAATTCCAGTATATATATCTCCCAATTAATATACACTCATTGGGTTTTTCTTTTTGTAGCAAAAGACATATAGCAGAATAGAATAGTACAGAGATGGTCCTCCTGCGCTACTTCCCTACCTGCAATGACCCCCAAAAACAAAAGTGTCCGCAAACACCTAACTATATTCCAAAATAGTAAAAACAAATAAAGGAGTGAAAGGGTGCTGCGCTACTTAATGAACAGTGGAAACATAAATAGAAAAAATATACTGAATATAGATATGCCCTTCATCCAAGTGTAAACATAACATATCCAAAAAACTTGTGAATGGGTGCAAAAAAATGACAAATGACAGTAACAGCAGCACAAATAGCTATAACGTGCTGGTAACAAAAGTGAATATATCAATAATGATGATGTATATGGTGTAATAAAAGTGAATCAGTCCCAAAAAATCAATAAATGACTCAGTTCCAAAAAAATATATATATGGCAGTCCCAAAACTCAGGAAAAAACACAGTAAATCTTCAGTGCACGCCATGAGTGGCGTCAGTGGCGCTGACAAACACTCACAAGCATGCAGAAATGACCTCTGTCATCTCCGTCACGGTGATTGTTGCAGTGGTGGAGAGGGAGTTCAACTGCTCTGAGGATGGAGTGGTACACTATTTATGAATTCCCCTGCATGTGTTTAATTACCTAGGTTTTTGATTATCTTAGCAGAACTGAAGGTAACGTGCTGCAGCATTTTCTCCAGGAAAGGTGGAATACCCTATATCCATATGTGAGCATTCCTGAAGAAGATGTAAAAAACCCTATTCTGGAAATGCGCAGGTTGTCTCCATATTCACTGATTAATGACCAAGGATATTACTTATGACCATTGCTGTGAAATGCACTGGAGATGACAAAGGTCTGCGGCCATTTTTGGAGCATGCTTGTGAGTGTTTGTCAGCACCATTGGAGATGACATTTGCTCTTTGATTGCTATCGAGGACCAATTTCTTGGAATCATCATTTGAGGTTCTCTATATGCTTTGTGACTCCTTGTGGGCCGCATTTTGAAGGTGAGCATGCACGCTAGCCGGTAGATGATATTTACGTATATGTTTGCAGCACTGTTCATTAATTAAGTAGTGCAGCGCCCTTTCACTCTATATATAGCAGAATACATTTTGGACTAAATTTTATGAAAAAATTATTTTATTGGATATGTTTTGTAACAGAAAGTAGTAAATATTTTTTTCCAAAAAAAATGTTCAGTCTTTTTTTGTTTATATAATAAAAAATACAATTAAATACAAAATAAAATGCCCAGTGGTGATCAAATACCACCAAAAGAAAGCTCTCTTTAAATTGAAAAAAAAAAAAAAAAAAAAATATATATATATATATATATATATATATATATATATATAAATAATTTTTTTTTTTTTCAATTTGGGTACAGTGTTGCATGACTGAGAAATTGCCAGTTAAAATAGCACAGTGCGAATAGCAAAACAATGCCCTGGTCATAAAGAGAGTGTGTGAGTGTGTGATCTAACCTTCTATGCCCAATGCTCAAAATTTACCAAAAAGTGCTAATTTACATGTTTAAATTATTACAAAAATGTTACCACTTTCTGCCTGCCATCTACACTTACCAGCCACTTTATTAGTTACACCTGTTTAATTGCCAATCACATGACAGCAACTCAATGCATTTAGGCATATGGACGTGGTGAGGACGACTTACTGAAGTTCAAACCGAGCATCAGAATGGAGAAGAAAGGATTTAATGGACTTTGAATGTGGGATGGTTGTTGATGCCAGACGGGCTGGTCTGACTATGTCAAAAACTGCTGATCTACTGTAATTTTCACACACAACCATTTCTAAAGTTTACAGAAAATGGTCCGAAAAAGACAAAATATCCAATGAGATGCAGTTGTGAGGATGAAAAAGCCTTGTTGATGTCAGATAGAATGGGCAGACTAGTTGCTGCGACATTCAGATGGTAGGGTCAGAATTTAGTGTAAACAACATGAAAACATGGCTCCATCCTATCTTGTATCAATGGTTCAGGCTGGTGGTGGTGTAATGGTGTGGGGGATATTTTCTTGGCACTAGCAAGGTGTACCTAATAAAGTGGCCGGTGAGTGAATATATAAACATTCTCCTAGCAAGTGCCACATGCTGGGAGTAAGATTATAGGTATGTTTCGCTCTGATCTCCACAGGCAACTACAGACTGCTTTGAAAGACCTAAAAGATTTTTTTTTCCTTGTAATACTGCAGCCTGTCATATTGTAGAAATTATACAGACAGACAGACAGACAGACAGACAGACAGACAGAGAGAGAGAGAGAGAGAGAGAGAGATCCTAGCCTACTGATCAGTCTACTAGACTATCAAATTCATTCTATCTAGAGCAGTGGTTCTCAACCTTTCTAATGCCGCGACCCCTTAATACAGTTCCTCATGTTGTGGTGACCCCCAACCATAAAATTATTTTCGTTGCTACTTCATAACTGTAATTTTGCAGTGGGAGGACTAGCGCCCCATCACTGATGTCAGTGGGATGAATAGTGTCCCATCGTTGGTATCAGTGGGAGGAATAGTGTCCCATCGTTGGTGTCAGTGGGAGGAATAGTGTCCCATCATTGGTGTCAGTGGGAGGAATAGTGCCCCATCATTGGTGTCAGTGGGAGGAATAGTGCCCCATCATTGGTGTCAGTGGGAGGAATAGTGTCCCATCATTGGTATCAGTGGGAGGAATAGTGCCCCATCATTGGTGTCAGTGGGAGGAATAGTGCCCCATCATTGGTGTCAGTGGGAGGAATAGTGCCCCATCATTGGTGTCAGTGGGAGGAATAGTGTTCCATCATTGGTGTCAGTGGGAGGAATAGTGCCCAATCATTGGCGTCAGTGGGAGGAATAGTGCCCAATCATTGGCGTCAGTGGGAGGAATAGTGCCCCATCATTGGCGTCAGTGGGAGGAATAGTGCCCCATCATTGGCGTCAGTGGGAGGAATAGTGCCCCATCGTGTGGTGTCAGTGGGGGGAGGAATAGTGCCCCATCGTGGGGGGTAGTGTCAGTGGTGGGGGAGGAATAGTGCCCCATCGTGGGTGTCAGTGGGGGGAGGAATAGTGCCCCATCGTGGGGTGTCAGTGGGGGGAGGAATAGTGCCCCATCGTTGGGTGTCAGTGGGGGGAGGAATAGTGCCCCATCGGGGGGGGTGTCAGTGGGGGGAGGAATAGTGCCCCATCGTGGGTGTCAGTGGGGGAGGAATAGTGCCCCATCGTGGGGGGGGGGTCAGTCAGTGGGGGGAGGAATAGTGCCCCATCGTGGGTGTCAGTGGGGGGAGGAATAGTGCCCCATGCCCCATCGTTGGTGTCAGTGGGGGGAGGAATAGTGCCCCATCGTGTGGTGTCAGTGGGGGGAGGAATAGTGCCCCATCGTTGGTGTCAGTGGGGGGAGGAATAGTGCCCCATCGTTGGTGTCAGTGTGGGGGAGGAATAGTGCCCCATCGTTGGTGTCAGTGGGGGGAGGAATAGTGCCCCATCGTTGGTGTCAGTGCCCCATCGTGGTGTCAGTGGGGGGAGGAATAGTGCCCCATCGTTCGTTGGTGTCAGTGGGGGGAGGAATAGTGCCCCCCATCGTTGGTGTCAGTGGGGGGAGGAATAGTGCCCCATCGTTGGTGTCAGTGGGGGGAGGAATAGTGCCCCATCGTTGGTGTCAGTGGGGGGAGGAATAGTGCCCCATCGTTGGTGTCAGTGGGGGGAGGAATAGGTGTCAGTGGGGGGAGGAATAGTGCCCCATCGTTGGTGTCAGTGGGGGGCCCCATCGTTGGGAATAGTGCCCCATCGTTGGTGTCAGTGGGGGGAGGAATAGTGCCCCATCGTTGGTGTCAGTGGGGGGAGGAATAGTGCCCCATCGTTGGTGTCAGTGGGGGGAGGAATAGTGCCCCATCGTTGGTGTCAGTGGGGGGAGGAATAGTGCCCCATCGTTGGTGTCAGTGGGGGGAGGAATAGTGCCCCATCGTTGGTGTCAGTGGGGGGAGGAATAGTGCCCCATCGTTGGTGTCAGTGGGGGGAGGAATAGTGCCCCATCGTTGGTGTCAGTGGGGGGGGAGGAATAGTGCCCCATCGTTGGTGTCAGTGGGGGGAGGAATAGTGCCCCATCGTTGGTGTCAGTGGGGGGAGGAATAGTGCCCCATCGTTGGTGTCAGTGGGGGGAGGATATATCGTTGGTGTCAGTGGGGGGGGAGGAATAGTGCCCCCATCGTTGGTGTCAGTGCCCCATCGGGGGAGGAATAGTGCCCCATCGTTGGTGTCAGTGGGGGGAGGAATAGTGCCCCATCGTTGGTGTCAGTGGGGGGAGGAATAGTGCCCCATCGTTGGTGTCAGTGGGGGGAGGAATAGTGCCCCATCGTTGGTGTCAGTGGGGGGAGGAATAGTGCCCCATCGTTGGTGTCAGTGGGGGGAGGAATAGTGCCCCATCGTTGGTGTCAGTGGGGGGAGGAATAGTGCCCCATCGTTGGTGTCAGTGGGGGGAGGAATAGTGCCCCATCGTTGGTGTCAGTGGGGGGAGGAATAATAGAATAGCCCCATCGTTGGTGTCAGTGGGGGGAGGAATAGTGCCCCATCGTTGGTGTCAGTGGGGGGAGGAATAGTGCCCCATCGTTGGTGTCAGTCGTGGTGTCAGGGGGGAGGAATAGTGCCCCATCGTTGGTGTCAGTGGGGGGAGGAATAGTGCCCCATCGTTGGTGTCAGTGGGGGGAGGAATAGTGCCCCATCGTTGGTGTCAGTGGGGGGAGGAATAGTGCCCCATCGTTGGTATTAGTGACACAAATGATGGGGCACTATCCCTCCCACTGACACCAATGATACTTACCTTGCTGACTCCTGCTCCAGCCTGGGCTCGCTCTCTCCCTCTCCCATCTACAGCCTGCATACCTGGCTGCAGCAGCAAAATTTGCACTTACCTGTCAGCTGTCTTCCTTCTCTGGCCTCTCTCTTCACTCGTTCCTGCAGCTCCCTCGATCTTCTTCGATCTCCGCGCGCTGCCGCTCGGCTCCTCCTCTCCAAGCTCCACCTTTTCGCCGGTGATTGGCCGCCTGTGTGCCTCTCCTGAGCTACAGTTCCGGTGGCCAATCAGCGGCGAGGAGGGCGGTGACAGGGGCAGCATATCATCCCGCCCACACATCGCCGGAGACAGGAGCGGCGTCTCGGTTCCTAAGACCATCGGAAATATGTGTTTTCCGATGGTCTTAGGCGACCCCTGGGAAATGGTCGTTCGACCCCCAGGTTGAGAACCGCTGATCTAGAGTATACAATTAATAATTTGGCCACTCCCCCACAAAAAAAAAAAAAAAAGAAAACTAAGAAAACACACACACACACACACACACACACACACACACTTGAATATATAGAACAGTAGCAAGGAATGATAAGCTGTGCTGCATAACTGCACACTAGAAAGCCTTACCTTTGACTTCCCCGAGCGACTGGTCACTAGACGAATGTCTTTGACAGTGCCATGTTCTTTGAACACTTCTTCCACTTCTTCCTTGGTGCAGGAAAATGGTATCCCAGAGACAAACAACTTGTGTTTTCTCCAGAACGGGACTATACTTAAACACCTAAACAAGCAATACATGTAGTTAATAACACAATTATGGTGTACCTAAATGTCAGCTTATATTCTACTAAAGGCTCTTAGGCAAAAATTACAGCAAAAATATTTTTGCAGTACATGCAAGATAAAGAAAATGAGATTTAATAATACAAGCCCTGGTCATTAACATTTTTGTGTGTCCTATTGATCAATAAATATAAATATACACTATATTCATCTTTCCTCCAGTGTGCAGCTGATCCTTCTTCCTATTGCCTGGTCATTAACAAGACAACGGACATGATCAGTGATCTACTGTATTAAAATGGACTCCAGAACGACAAAAAAAAAAAAACAAGCTTTTAAAATAATAAAAAAAAAATTCTTCAAATGCCAGCAAGCCATCTTACTTCAGGAGAGATCTAACAAGTAGCTTCAGAAAATCTCATCCGGTTTGGTGAAATATGAAATTCAGTACAGGCCAGGAACCAAGGGACATTTACAAATGGAGTTTATGTACTCGCCTCCAAAATTATATTTTCCAAGTTCTCTGAGAGACACAGGAGCATTTAAGGAAGAGTGGGTTTATATCACCACTTGCAGAAGGCAGATACTTGGTACAAAGTAAAAGAAAACACGCACACACTCTCCCCAATCTAAGGCCACATTGTTAACAATTTGGCCACACCCACTGTTTCAGCTGCATGGTGCTCCTGCACATTACTACTCTCCCTGGGCTGTCCAAAGTTGCCTCAGCTTTTGTACAATCTAAGCAACACCCCTGGTACTGATTAACAGATTGTCCGCACCATGCTGCCATAATGTAACCACGGCACAACACAAGTCACTGTCTCCCTAAAGAGTCCCTCCTTAAGTTTTAAAGTCGGGAGTTTGTTTTATGTTTTTCCACATGGTGGCCCAGTTCAGCCACCCCAGTGGATGACAGCATAATTATTGGCCATTGAAGAAAAGGCAGGACCTTTCTCCCTGTACAGACAGAAAACTGACCATGCTAGGATGGATGTGCTTTATGCCTGGGACTGTCAGTTTGAAATAGGAAAGCAGGGGGGACTGGCAGGATCACTGGGTATTTAACAAAAAGGAAGTAATACAAAGACAAAGATTCTTTAACACAAGTACATGATACAACAGATATATATCAGGAATATGAAATATTGGGGTAGCAAACACTTAAGTCTGTTATTTTTCAAAGTCCCTCAAAGTAGTAGTAAACCCACTTTGTTAATTTTTACCTACAGGTAAGCTTATAATAAAGCTTACCTGTATGTAAAATGAATATCTCCTTAATGCGCATCACTTAGGGGATATTCTTGTTTTTTTTTTTTAGCTGGTGCATTCACTCTGAAGGAACGGCATACCCGTGCCGTGGCCTGTGACTCCCTTGAGCATGTGGCAGACTGTTTTCATGGCAGACTGCCTATTTGGCCCTTTTCTGGATGAAATCTTTAAAAAGTGCAGTAAAAGTTTCAACAGATTAAGTACAGATCAAGCACATGTCAAGTACACATCACATACAAACCTTAAAGTCTGGATTCTCGTTCTTGTCCACACAAGGGGAGACAAACATTGGCCTCCCATTGATCTTCTGCCGATCTAATTTCAGTGCATCTAGGGTACTTTTTTCATCTGAAAACTGAACATAACAATAACCACGGAAAGTGCCTTTGTTGTTATATAGATAACTCTGACGTCGGTGATCTCCCCACAACCAGAGAAGACTTTCCTAAGCTGCTTTTCTGGATCAGGCATATTAAAGGACAGATTGCTGATAAATACAGTTATACTGTCTTTGTTTGTATCATGCAGAACCTTTGGCTGCTCCTTTGTAGTAGGCAGCTTGTGTCTGGCTGAAGTGTGAGCCATAGAGGTGGTACTCCGGCCAAACAGTCCAATTTCAGTCTCCATCTCATCTTTCTCATTGTCTTCCAGCTTTTCTTCTCCTTTGGGTCTCTTGCTGGGCTGCTCTGCTGCAAAGTATAAACACAAAAAAACTATAGAAACATGATTTACTAAAATCAGTCAAATTAACCACTATATGGTTGATTCTGTTTTAATGGTCAGTGAAAATAATGCTTTAAAAAAAAAACCTCAAAATAAAGTATAGCTTTCATGTAGAGTCAAAATCAGTGCTGGATGTCTAGAGCAGGGCTTGAAAAAGCTGCTTGCCTGCTCGCCAAATGCGAGGAGAAATTCTTGTGTGGCGAGCACAGATGATGGAGCTGCTGCACCTGCGCTCCAAGCCTCATTGTGAAGCCGAGTTCCGGTTTCCAACTTCCGGCTTCCAGCTTCTTCGGCACTGCCATTACACTGGCAGCGCCGCTGAGGGGACAGGTGCAGGAGAAGTCTGCTCTCCTCTGCTGAGAGGAGACATCCTCTCCACCACTGCGGGGGACTCGAGGTATTTTGCATCAGAAAAAGGGTATTACACAAGTCTTGGTCCTGCTGTACAACACAAACCATGGCTGCTCTATTAGCACATCTTTGGTAAAATGTTTACTATTTTTATGCCATGTTTTTTGGAATCTAAATAAGCACTTTTTTGTTTTTTTCTTAATGCACTACTTCTGTAAGCTCTCTTTTAATAAGATGCTGGAGATACAAAAAGCAAAATGTTTACTATTGTTATTTATTTTATGCAATGTTTTTTGGCCATCAAAAGAGGCAATTTTTCTTTTTTCTTAATGCCACACTTCTCTAAGGTCTCTGCTGGAGATAAAAAATACAACATGTTTACAGTAACTATTATTCCATGTTTTTTGGCATCAAAAGAAGCACTTTTTCTTATGCTATACTTCTGTAAACTAAACTTACATCTTTTAAAAGAGACTTTTGTAACTAAAGTCTCTTTTTAAAGATGCAGGAGATAAACAAAAAAAAAATACAAAATGTTTACTACAGGCTTAAAGCTGTAAAACTACATATTTTGATTGCACCCTATTGCTATTAAGCTATTGCTGTTATGTTTAAATTGACATAATAAAGCTGTGTTATAATTGCAGTTATTTATATTTTGGACTCTTTATTCTAAAGAAAAATGTAATTTCATAAGCTTTAAGGGGGCGTGGTTGGAGGCGGACCTGGGCAAGGTTGGGTGGGGCAACTGGTGGAGAGTAAGGTTTGTGCCTGGCTAGTAGGTCTAGACTCGAAATTTTAAGTCCTGGTCTAGAGGATTCCAGGTTGAGAAGAGCACTCTACCACCAGCTATGATGGACAGAGCATTAGTGAAGCACAGGAGGTCCTCTTAAAAAAAAAAAAAAGCAAAAAAAAAAAAAAAAAACCCAGCCAAATCAGAGCACATCCGAATTTAGGGAAACAGCAGCTCTTCTTAGACACTTACTGGACAGTGAAAAATAGTTTGATTATATTGTCTATTTAAAAGGAAGCACCCTTTTCTACGAAACAGTCTCAGAGTGAAGCTTGTCAATGGGAATCTACATTAAGTTGAACCACAGATAACACGATTATACAGACAGGATGATGGCAACATGATCTTTGAATTCACACACACAATCTCACAGAAGTGAGTATACTCCTCATATTTTTGTAAATATTTTATTATATCTTTTCATGTGACAACACTGAAGAAATGACACTTTTCTACTATGTAAAGTAGTGAGTGTACAGCTTGTATAACAGTGTAAATTTGCTGTCCCCTCAAAACACAGCCATTAATGTCTAAACCGCTGGCAACAAAAGTGAGTACACCCCTAAGTGAAAATGTCCAAATTGGGTCCAATTAGTAATTTTCCCTCCCCGGTGTCGTGTGACTTGTTAGTGTTACAAGGACTCAGGTGTCAATGGGGTGCAGGTTTTGTTAAATTTGGTTTTAA